GTCGCACGAGGCGGTTCGTGGCCGCCTGAGGGGCTGCGGAGCGTTTCCCGCCCTGCTGGGGGGTGGAGTGGGGATGGGGAGCCCTGGGTTATGGAACTTGCCTGCTCCTCGGTGACTTTGTTCGCTCCTCTGCGATAAAAAGCAGATAACTCGGTGGTTTTTTTCGCAGTAACGACATGTGCAGCAGGACATAATGAAGCTTTATGTGGATGTTGCAGCAGTGCGTGGAGGAAGTTCCTTTTAACGGATGATGGTAAGTTTTTATTTTATTTTATTGGAATATCGAGGCAGAACCAGTTCTTTTGAGGCTCAGGCTTAGACTTCAGTGAGGACCACTAAATTCCAAAGAGTTCCTTGGGATTGGAGGTATGTATAGCAGTCCACAGTTTCACTCATTTAGAGGAGAATAGTGCAAGTTTCTCAAGCACTCATTTGTTCAATTAAAGCAGCTGGACAATGAGAAAGTTTTAAAAACGTTTAAATTTGATATTTGGGATTTATTTTTTTTTCTTTGATTAAAGGTCCTTTTTCAGTCAGTCTAACAGAAGTTTAATTGTAGTTTCAAAGTACTGTATTAAACTGGCTATAAGTATCAGGCAAAGGAGACTATGTTTTCATGTTCTTTCAAGTCCATATTCCTATTGAAGAAGGAATAAAATGGTTTTTTTTTCAAATTTCAAGTATGGCACTGTTCTGCTTCAGTGAACCTCAGGTCTTTAATAAGTAGCTGTAATTTGGTTGTGGTAGTATATTTTACAGCCATCATTAGAAGCTGTTTTTTGTTGCTAGATAGGCTGATCTAAATACTACAATAGGAATTGTAATTTGAGACAGGGTATCTGTGGCAATGGTAGCAAATATTCTAACTGGACAGCAAAGAGTGTAATTGGAAAACTTAGGAAGCCACCTGGCATTTCATAAGATGCTTTCTGGACTTCAGAAAGCTGATGGTATTATGTGTTCAATCTAATTTTAAAATTCCCGGTGTCCTGGAAATGCATAAACTTTGTTTAAATACTTATTGGCCTTATAATTTGTTTTATTTTAGTTGAGAGAGTTGGCGGAAGCTCTTAGCAAATTTCAGATTTGTCAATGAAAACTCAGTTACTTTTACCTCCACAAATGGTATGGGAGAAGCATGTAACTAATTTTCACACTTGAGCTCTTCTACTGTCAATCAGCATTTTGATATTCCTGGTATCGCTTATGAGTGTCCTGGATTGGGCTGATGGGCTGCTTGAGCTTACTCTGAAGGAGGTCTTTAGCCAAGAAGTGCAAATATTTGTTCCAAAGCTTGCAATTCTAATCCTAATCTAAGACTTTGTTCTTTTCTTTCAGCAGGTACAAGGTAGACAACATATCTTGAATTGCTAAAAAAACGCTGTTTGCGTCAGAGTAATGTCAAAGTGCTTACAGTGCAGGTAGTGATATATAGAACCTACTGCAGTGAAGGCACTTGTAGCATTATGTTGACAACTGCCTCAGGAGATCTCGCAGGACTTCAGAGAACGGAAAGGTACAGTGTGGTGCTGTCAAGTGCTTTTTGTACTAAGGTGCATCTAGTGCAGATAGTGAAGTAGATTAGCATCTACTGCCCTAAGTGCTCCTTCTGGCATAAGAAGTTATGTCTTCATCCAGTCACTCAGGTTAAGACTGTAGATGTTCCAGTAGTTTTCTGCTTTGCAGTCTTCTGTTAGTTTTGCATAGTTGCACTACAAGAAGAGAGTGGTTGTGCAAATCTATGCAAAGCTGATGGTGGCCTGTTATAATCTACATCAAGAAGTTGGAACGCTTTCTGCTGGTTATGGGATATTTTGTGGCCTTCCTTATTTTAACAGCAGTCTAGTGAATGACAGCTCTTGTAGCACTAAAGTGCTTATAGTGCAGGTAGTGTTCACTAATCTACTGCATTATAAGCACTTAAAGTACTGCTAGCTGTAGAACTACATATTGTGTCGTACAATTTATTTGTTGTTTAATTGAACACTGTTCTCTGGTTAGTTTTGCAGGTTTGCATCCAGCTGTATGATACTCTGCTGTGCAAATCCATGCAAAACTGACTGTGGCAGTGACAAGTCAGTCAGTGAGTGTGGAAAAATTATACCCCTTTCTACACAGGTTGGGATCAGTTGCAATGCTGTGTATGTCTGTGGTATTGCACTTGTCCCGGCCTGTTGAGGTTGGTGGGGATAGAGGCTGAAACACCTTTGTAGCTTTAAGGAATTTCTCCTTCACTGATCCGTGAAACTTAAAATTTCTAAGTTTCTTGAAAAAATGTCATGTAATTCTCTGTGTAACCAGACTTTCATTTTTTTGTATCTGGCTTCTTGTTTGTATGTATTGTATTTGTCGCTGACAGTATGTATTTGCTGAAATTCTTAATTATGGATTATTTTTTTTTAAGGTTATTATTACTTTTCTATTAAACTGAGGTGGATGCTTGTTTACAGTTTCCTCATGAATTTGTTGGGAAGAAATGGATCTTGGGTATCAGAAAATCTGGATGAAAGTTCTATTCTAACTTGTTTGCTGTAAACTTGCTTTGTAAATTTGAATTACATAAAGGATTCAGCAGCATTCTTTTGTAATGCTTCTTATATTGCAACTCTCTATGTTCTAAATGGTAGTAGAGTGCATTTTTAGCCTTAGTTCTTCCATCCAGAATTTGTCAAATTCAAGAGTAATAAATGAGATTACAGGTAGAGCTTTAATCATTCATTGGCTATGGAGTTTTTAATAGTCAGGTGTCAGCTTCTTGTGGAGTATCTACATTCATGGTTAGTGTAACAGTGGTCAACTCATAACCTTTTGAGTGAATTACTTAGCATGTGATGCATAGCAATGATATAAAACATCTCTTGAGCCTCCTGAAGAATTTCTCTGAAGCAAAACTGATCCAAATAACTGCTTCAGAGAAACTGAGATTGGTTGGGGAAGACATGGTAAGGAACAGTCACTAAAATGTGCAAGTGGAACATTCAGCCCATCTTGCTTTTTTTTGAATGACTGCACATTAGTAATCTACACTTGTAGCTCAAACATTAATGGGTTTAGTTCTAAAACAGGCTTCCAGAGGACTAATGCCTTAAATTCAAAACACTCATATTGCCTCTTAAAGCCGCCAGCCCGTATATAGTACTCTAAAGCAAAGTAGAGTTCCTTTGTGGTAGGAAAATTAAGAATATTTGGGTCAATGCTGCCCTTGATGTTCTTGCTTCAAATTAGAATGGAATACAAAGCTCAGTGGGTCATTCATGAGAGTGTTGAACACTATATTGCAATGCTGTCTTGCAACATACTCTGTCCTCTAGCAAGATGTTGAAAGTTCTTAAATGGCTTTGGCATCTTTAGGTTTCTTTCTGAAGTAGCCCAACCAACTTAAGCTTTTACTACATGCTGCTCAGTTTCTACCCCTTTTTCTTTCTATCTCTGTTTCTGTAGAATGTATAGCTCAGATAGGTTTCTTGTACAAAATATTCTTTTCCCAAGCTTAAAATTTTCTTCTTAGTCTTGTTGGTTAGAGGAAACTTGTGTCTGTGAAGTCAGCAGATGAAGAAAACTGTCTTGTCCTGATTTCTGTATGATAAGTGTCTGGTGATGGCAGGTTTAACTCTTTTGAGTGTAAAAGCAGCATTATTAAAAAAGTTGGAATTCAGGAAGCATTTTAATATGGGATCATATTTATGCTGCCATGTAAGTATCAAGTTTTGAAATGCCTGAAGATGTGTATTACAGTTTTAACACTGCAGCTTGTTTAAACCAAGTGCTTGCACAAGCGGTTTTTGTGCCCATGGAATCTTAAATTGTGTATCAGGTATGTTGCAGTGTATGTAGTTTTAATATCAAACCATGTGACATTAGTAAGGGTTTCCCTAACTTCATCGTTTCATTGCCTGGACTTTTAATTCAGTTATTTACTGCAAAGTAAATAACTTTTACGTGGTGCAAGTCTGAGAAATTATTTTGTAACAGTCATACAGCAGTTTAAAGACATGGTAAGCTCTGCCTTAGTTAAAGAGCAATTACAGCACTGCTTTTGTAATATCAGTCTTATTTGCATGTTTTCAATGCAGTATTGGCTTATTGATTGTATAACTTAGGTTATCAGAAGTTTCAAGTTGGTCACATGCTGTTTTTGGAAAATACCTGTAATACTTTATAGTCTGTTTCATCTAATTCAAATGCATCGGTAGTGTTCTCATGAATATGTAATGGATATAGTCCTGTCTTACACCCAGTTTGTGTATATTGTTGGTTTTATTTCAGTCCTTTGAGTGTTTCCTCAAATAATTGTTAACTGTGTATGTTGGTTTCAGTGTAGCTAAGACATTAAACTAGTTGACAGAAGACTGAAGAGATAGAAGTAATGCTGCTGAGTTCAGCTGGTTTTACTGAAATAAGTTGAGCCTTGCCACTGATTTTGGTGTAGCAGATCTGACTAGAAAGGAGTGGTTAGATAGCTAAAACAAGTGCCAGTTATTTAATCCTTCAGAAATAGGAAGAGGCATTTTCTGCAGCTCTATTTAGCTTTGTTAAAACTGTCACATGTATGGAAGGCATATTTCTACTGGCTTTGAAACAGGTAATCATTTTTCAAGTGAACTGCTATGAATTAGTCTGAGACACAGGAGCTTCTGGGAGATTGGTGCTAATAAACCTGTGTGGACTTTTAGGAATTGTTTAAAGTGAAATTATTTTTCTCAAGTGTATTATTAAAGAAGGGCATAGCTTAGTCTGTCTTGCTAAACAAAAAGTAAGAAATTCCAAGCAGTATTAATACTTCCCTGTAGTTCTGGTATAGCACAGTTAACCTTATAAGGAAAACCTTGTCTGTTAATTGTAGAAAACTATACTCTTAGAGTCTGGAAGCATGCTGGGAAATGAGCAATTTTTTTAATGATTTGTCACTGGATGATGCTGAAAAGCCAGCTCAGTTTTTTAGAATTGACTTTCTTTTGCTGACTTCAGAATACCAAATCAACTAGTGAGATGACTGTCCGGAACAGGCATTTCGAGTAATAGCTTGTTCATAGGCATTAAATGAACAGGACTAGAAGAGAACATCTCCTGCTGTGCTGACACAGAGTTGGATCTCTCACACATAGCTGAGATGCTACCATGAGAAAACAAATGCAAGACTCCCATGTTCTGCAGTACATCCATTGTATTTGTATAGTTCATAAGTGCTCTTGTCTACAGAGTCTTACTTGGTAAAGACCACAGCTTGCTTCAAGTCTGGGACTCGCTGGGCTTTGTTTCCACACCACCTCTCTCTTCCTTTATCCCTCCCTCCCCCAGTCACTAAACTAGAATTCATTCCCTGGAACCTTTTCTGTGTCTGGTTCTAGTAGCATTGGATGAATAGGCAAATAGCATTCAGTATATAAACCACAGAAATGTCATGGGTACAGGAGATTAAGCAAGTGAACCTTAAGTAATGGACTGCATCATGTTGTGATTCTTTCTGCTCTGAAGAGTAAATTTCTGGTAATTCTCTTTTGTGTCATCTTTTTGAATGATGTCTAAAGGAGAAGACACTGGGGAGAAAATAAATGTGTGGTTAAAAGAATTCTCTACTTTTACTATATCGTATTCTTTCTGATGGGTTATCTGCTGCACTTGTCATTTATATTAGTACAACATCTGTCTTCATTGATAATGGTCAACAGGAGAAGAAACTGTTACCCGTTAGTTTGGTACATGAGAATTGTCAGTCTGGAATCAGTGAGGCTAGGCCTGAGTTTCAACCCTGCCATTGTTGCATTCTACAGGTTCTGAAATTTGGAAGGCCATTTTTAACAGGGCAAACAAAGTGTTGCATATATTAGTCTTTACACTGATATAAGGCTGTTAATTGCTATAGCCAGTGGGATTCCTGGCTGGAGGAAAACTGACTAGGGGCCTTGTGAGTAAAGACTGAGAGTTGTTAAATGGATCTTGGTTTGGATTTTTCCACCTCCATAAGGAAGTCAAAACTATTAAAGTTATTATAGTGTTTCATTCTTAGTGCTAAATAAAACTTAGTTTTACCTAGTTGCCCATTTAACGGATGAGCAATCCTGCTAATTTAGTCTCATTTTGGGCTTATGTGTTCGGTTTTAGGTGGTTTTGTTTATTGGGGGGCAAGGGTGTTAGGGTTTGTTCATTGCATTTAACTTGCTAGGATGACATAATACACGAGTAATTCTAGTCTGAAATGTCCAAATACAGACTGCTTGGTTAAAAACTTTTCAGGCTCTCTGGTAATGCATCAGGTTCTTTACATGGGTACTGAACTACAGACAAAGTTGTAAATGTAAATAGTTGTGATTTGGGTACCCTTCGATGTAATTTTGTGACCCAAGGAGA